CCGCGTGGAGCCGTTGGTAGATATCCTGCAGTTGGAGATTCATTGTAGAATTCATTTGACTCATTTGTAGTAAGTGACTACTTCTTCTACGCGCCACTAGCGAATCTTATATGTGTTGTTCTTGTCCTAAGTATTATCGTTCATTAACAACCTTAGTGTGATTATTCTATTCAGTAACCTTTCCTAGGTTACAACAATATGTATATCATGCATAGCACCAAACTCGGTCAGAAATGTCTAAACTGTCAGCTTTATACAACTGCTTTCACAGTTCAATGATTAAAAATGATTTCGAGCAAATAATGATTGTAAATCTTACCAAGTACCATCCATGGACTGGCGTTACGGAACCACAAAGAATTGTACCAAATAACAAAAATGACATCCCTTGATGTTAAATTCATCACTACATCAAATAAAAGATGAATAAGAAAGTCCTCATCATTACTGGAAAGAGTATGTAACAGTTACTTGACTTGATAGATTGATGCGTTTTTACGGCTTATCAACCCATTGCAGATTATTTAAAGCCAGAAAATATTTTTAGATTGTAAGAATTTTTTTAGAGATAATAATTTAGTGATAAAAGCCTTAGTAAGACTTTAATCACTAAATCATTATTATCTAAAATATTCTTTGGGTTTATAGAAATTTGCAGTGTTTGGCGAAACTACACCTAGTTCACCCTATTCTATGTTCAATTTACTTATCGCCTGTATGAAATTTGATGCAGTTTTATGTTTGTTACAAGATCCTGCTGATTATGGACCAAAAGAAGCACAAATATAAGCAGCTAATTTTAAATGCAGTTAGATATTGAAATACACGCTTACCACCATGAAAAGTGGGATCAGCGTGCCGATTTCAAACCCCTTCGAATCTATTGCGTTAACTTCCGCACGAATACCCCTGAGAAGTTTGGAAAGATCATCTTTTCTCTTCCCAGACCCAGATAAGGGTTAAATAACAACGCAGAATGAGACCTCGTGCACCTAGGTAACAGGCAAAATAAGAGAACACTCTGAGAAAGCAACAGGAAACCACTCCACTATCTTTAGCAAGAAATCAAGGCAATTTACAGATAACAAAGAAACGATATATGTAGCAAACCATGATTGCTTCACCACCCGCGAAGGCATATGACATTTAAAAAATGATTTGATCATCACATGACTATATCATGAAACACCTATCAGAATTGAATTCCCTTGATTCATCTATCAAATGACTTTCATAACCATCTTGCCACCAGAGAATCGTGGAGACAAGAAGCAACGCATCAATATTCCCTTCTTATTCCATTAGTAAGGAGGAATACTCCCAAGAGTATACTTCCCTGGTCACTACGAATCTACCCTCTTCAAGCCTATGGTCAACCGTTTTTTATCTTGCATATTCTCATAGTATGCACTTGTTACCTCAACTTTTACGACCATACACAACCTTATTCGTTAATCTTCTACCTTAAGTAGCTCTCGTGTTTTGTATTAATGTGACGGTTACACACCTGGCCCAGTGTCGGATCCTTTGGTTACGGCGCCAACGGTGACGTCGCTCCTCCTGGTCGCTCCTCCTGGGTCCAAGCGTGCCGCTCCAACCCTTTGGTCAGATGATCACCAGCCTCGCCTTTCCCGACTCGCTTCCAATACCTGGTCACTAAAGCAACTATACCGATCTCCGGTCTGTCTACCCACGCTGTGTTTAGATCTTAGACAGACGGGACCAGCAGGATCGGGGCCGATACAAGTTGAGTCCGACGGGGTGGCAAAACACAAATAAAATAAAACTCACGACACCAAACAAAATTGCTGATAAAAGGGTAACAACCTTTTATATCTTAAAGTCCGTTACATAAAAACAAAATTGTTCTCAATTCCCGACCCGCTCTGTGGACTATGGCACCAAGCTTCTATCACACAATAGGAAAATGTCGAATTACCTACTTTCTAGAATCATGTATGTATGTCGGAGTGTGGTTCAGTTCGACACTGGGGCTAATTTCTATCGATCATTCGCAGTTGATTCTTCTCTCCGACTTGAGTTGTATTTCTTCTTCTTCTTCTACTTGGGCTGGAAGTTCTTCTTGTCTGAGGGTTCTTTTCTCGCTGCCGTCCGGGGATGAACTTTAACTTCTCATCGACTTTCGGCTTGTCTGCATCTCCAATTCTTCTCAGGCTTTCAGGCAATCTTCTTCTTCGTCTACTTGGGCTGGAAGTTCTTCTTGTCTGAGGGTTCTTTTTCTCGCTGCCGTCCGGGGATGAACTGATTTTTTGTCGATTGGGGACCTGCTTTTATTGACGCCGCAACAAACTGGGGTGGGTCTGTCGGCGTCAGGGTTTTCTCGATAATTCCAAAACTGCATTAATTCTGTCTTCTCCATTATCGCTATTGTTTTCGCCCTACTTCCTCGCAGTACCTTTGGTGGGGCGGCGCACATCCATCTCTTAGTCTCTCGTATGTCAGGTGACCGCTTTTCAACCAATCGTTCCTGATCGAGCATTTCTTTCCCTTTTCTTCCGCAGGTCACGTGATCGTATTCGACCAATTGTTATTGATCAAACATTTCTTTCCTTTTTCTTCCGCAGGTCACGTGATCGTATTCGACCAATTGTTATTGATCGAACATCCTCTCCCCTCTGTTTGCGGGCGTGGTTACATCGTTCTTGTTTAAAAAAAAACAAAATCCAATTTTGCCCTTTTTGCACGTACGCAAAATGACAATCTTTGGCTTTCTCTCACCTGGACTTTGTCAAACAGCCCGCTGCTAATTAGTCTTGACTTTAGAAAGGATCTTTTCCGCCTTCTTGGCGCCCTCTGTGAGCCAAAAAAGCAATTGTCCCTCTTTTTTACCTCTTTGTTTTACCTGATAGTCGAAAATCTTAATTATCTACATTGAAATGTCTCTACTTTATTAACGTGGGTGTCCAATTCTTAACAGGTCTGTATATCGTTCCACCGGTCCTCCCCTCAACCCAAAGACACTTTTTCTCTGATTAAAAAATTGTTTCATTGTTCCCAAAATTTCTCTTTATCCAAATTGATAAGGTGTCTTTCCATGCAAAAGTAGGCTAGGTGCTCTGACCGACATTCTTACCAAAATGACTTTCGAAAATCGGCCAAGACGCTGACCTAAATCTCTTTCTGACTCCTATCTCCACCCTCAATTGGGTCATGCGTCATACATTTCTCTTTCTTTCTTTTTCTTCCCTTCCTTCCTTTTTCCTTTCTTTCCTTCTTCTTTCCTTAGGATCGTTTAGTACACTCTTAGTGAATTATTTTCAACTCAGTTATTTTCCGTTTAAAAAAAAAATTAACAACCTGTTTAGTAACCGAGTAAAAAAAAATTAAATCATATTTCTATGAATATTTCTAATAATGCAAGGTGCCACATTAAGCAAACAATAGTAAAGCAAAAATAAAAAAAATCCCAATCGATATATAAGAATTTTCTTGTATCAAAAAGTTCCTTCAAGTAGAATCATATAATAATTAAAAAATAGGAGGGAAGCTTTATTTTTGTCTACCGGGACTTCAAGTTACCTAAGACTAAATTTATAGACCATTGAATATTTTTGTGAGAATTTCTTGAAATATACTATATACGTTATAAAATATAACGGATTATTAACCTAACTTAGTATTATATCAGAGCTTGAACAGCCCGAATCTTCGAAAAGACAGGTGGCAAAAACTCAAAGTTCAACGGAGATACAAATATCTACGCTTCTATATTTTCTCTGGAGATTTTCGTTTTAATATCGTCTTGTTATCATTTGAATCACTGAGAACTTTTCTCCCTGGATAAAAGTAATTTTTTTCTCCTTCCAGAAAGCGTTTTTACGAATGCGTTCAACGTAGCTTAGATCTTGGACGGTAATCGATTAACGTGTGGTAGTAAGTAGATGATAGTAGCATGATCTATCTTAGTCAATAGCCGGCTGCCGGATCCTAAGGAGAACATGGCACCAGCCGATATGTTATTAGAGACCCCAGCATGAGTAAAGATGTGTTGATGACATCTACATGTACAGACGACGTCCAAATGATGAGACTACATTGATATCTTTAAGCGGGAAAAGCAGACGAACAATCAACACAGAGTCTTTCTACTTTCCAGTTAAAAGAACTTTTCGATATCAGTGAATTATTATATATTGCGAAGGATTGACGCATCGTTGATGGCGTGATGGTTAGGAAATTCATCTGACGGATTAGATCGTTAAGACAGTGAGTTCGATTATCATGGCTGTATCGTAATAGGGCTTCTTTTTTTTTTTTTTTTTTTTTAAATGCCCTGTCTCTTGAGAAAGGAGGCTATCATGGATCGCCATAGATTCCGTTTCTCTGTTATCTGTGAATTATCTTGATTTCCTCGGAAAGATTGTGGAGTCATTTCCCGTTGTTTTCTCACAAATGTGTTCTCAAATTTTGACTGCCACCCAAATACTCCAGAGTCGACTCTGTCTTGTTAGATAACCCTTAACTTCTCGTTCGATCACCGAAGTTAAGCAACGTGAATCCTAGCTAGTATCTAGATGATTGAACGCTTGGGAATGCCAGTTTCTGTAAGCTTGGATATGCGTGTGGTGCGATGGATAACAGCCCGGAATCGGAGAGCCGAGTTCGAATTCCAGTCGAGTACCTTACATTCATTTAAGTGCAAATACCCTTGGGTTAGTACATGAATCGATCTCTTCTCCCATCTCAGCTATGGGTTAAATAGCAGAAATGTTTTTATTCATAAATTCGCTTTATACTGCTTTGCAGGTTATTTAAAGCCAGTAAATATTTTTAGATTGTAATGTATTTCTTTTTGGGAGATAACAAAAAACAGTGATACAAGCTTAACTCCTAGCTGGTGAACAGATGAGGTAGATATCATAACTTTCCCACGTGTATTTGTGCGTAAATAAATATAATGAAACCCAACGGGAATTGGAACTTGGCTCTGCGATTAACAATTCAAAGTGATTATTTATTACAACGCCCGCACATTCAAGCTTACACCACCTGATTTTCTCAAGCGGTCACCCGTCTAGGTGCTGGCCAGACTCCGCGTTGCTTAACTTCGTTGATCGTACGGAAACCGGTGTTTCAACGTGATGTGGATTCGACCTAGCAGGACTGACTAGGTCCTATAGTCTTGGTTGGCAACCAGTCTACGGCAAAAAATAACGGTAGCCTACTGCGGGAATTCTCTTGCCAAGTCGGTCATGAATCAAAAGGAGACATGGTCGCTGGACAGTGCATCAAGCCTGGCACCTAAGGAAGAAAGCTAGGCATGAAGAAGATGGGTTTATACTTCGCAACGGTATTTATGCAAAAGTGAGCGCAATAAATGCGCCGGTTCTACTTTCCGGACAAATAGCCGTTAAGCTCGACAGAATTCATATTATAATTACTTTCAAATAAATAAAGGGAGAGTACTCTATAATTAGCTAAACTCCAGTTATATCTAAAATTTAGAGTTAGCTTTATTTCTCTCATCACCGTCTCATAGTCGCTGTTTTCCTCGACGAGCTGCTACACAAGGCCCGATATATCAGTCGACACTGCTATTTAACTCTTAGCTGGAGAAAAAGAATAAAAGATGGATTCATGTATTAGTCTTTTTTTTTTTTTTATCTAATTTTAGAAAGTATAACCAACAGACCAAGTCGGGGATTTGAACTCGCTTCGCTGATTTCACTTTCTGCGCCAATGATCGTTACGCTACCCTTTCAAAAACCATAAGGCAGATTTGAATTTCATCTTAGTAAAAGGTTTATTTTTTTCTGCTGAAACCTGACGCGCGAAAATTGTCATTTTTTTCTTTTGCAAAGAGTCATTTCTCATTTAAAGCAGCCAGAGGGACATTAAGTTCTAAACTCTCGCTTATCTCTATTGCTAAACACTAAAACAACAAAAGGAACAGACAGATGTTCAACCCATTATAAAAAGCGATGAAACTCTTCGTCCATATATATATATAAATAAATAATAAATATATATATATATATATATATATATATATATATATATATATATATATATATATATATATATATATATATATATATATATATATATATATATATATATATATATATATATATATATATATATATATATATCCGTTTGGCAATGCTTCAATGTAATGAGAAATTTAGAACCTCAGCTTTTACGGTAGGTCATAAGCGACACAATCCGCTTCCAAACAAACGCATGAAGCTTCAAATGGCAGTATTTATGATACATCTCGTATAACAGAATTTTTGTGATTGCAGTGATCAATCACTAATACGTCATTTTATCAATATTTAAATGAATCTCTTGACTAAAGATTAAAAATGAACGATACACTATGGATGCTCTTCTCTTGCCACACGAGCCCAGCTGATGGTCATTTCTGGTTAAAAAGCTTATATTAGTTCAAATATAACAACGCAATAATGGAGTGCCTATATCGTTATCAGAGGTCTGTGAGTCTATCACGGGTACAATCATCCAACGTTTGGCATCTTAGGTATTGAAAAAAAAAACATACAGTCGCTGAGCAACGGTTCAACTTAGTAAAGTAGCTAATGACATTTGAACACATATTTGAACTCCTATTTGAACTCGGTATCTCAAGAGTTCTGCAGCTACCATATAACACATGCAACATGTTTGGATCATTGGTGACTAAACCGGTTCATTTACCAGGCTTTTATGGTGAAGATGACAACTTGACAGGTTTAAAAACAAGTCCTCCCAAATGGTAGATAAACCTTCTTGTGGGGATCACGACCATTTAGCACTATGGGTTAGACTGAGCTCTATAGCTATATCTGCAGCCAGTGTGGTGAGGACACGGCATCGCTGGGCGGAAGGCTTCCTTCACTGAAGTCAACGGTCAGGTAGCAGGATTCCCCTGATGGAATCAACGACCAAGTGCTCGTGACCAAGGCGAGCCTTCTTTGGAAGACATCAGCTGCGGGTTCACCTGAAGAGTGATAGGCTCCGCCAGGTTAACTTGTCCACGACACATGAAAGAACACTTCTCTGACTTTTAATCCAGATATGTGGCAAGCACTGGTCAAGTATTCATCTACACAGCGATCGTATGAACACACTCTCTTATAGTACTGATGATGATGATGCTGATGAATTGTAAAAAATCTTATGCAGATAGCAAGAAAGACGAAGAGAGTTATCGAATATTAACTCCACTTAAAAACACAACAAAGTGTTGATGAAAATGTAAAGTCAGTGAGTAGTGATGAGAAAAAAAACGAAATCATTTCCTTTAGGTAGAGTCTTAAAATGTATTGTTTATTTATAGGCAATGCATGGCTATCCAACAATTCCCTAATTCCCTTTCTTTATTAATTGGGAATTAACATAAGTTTTTTGGAAGGACAGTGGAGTGTATCCTTCTGCATGGTTTTAAATTCAGTTTAATCTTTCATTTAAACTGTATTTTTAGCACATATATAGGGAGACAATACACATTTTCATGCCTTTTCCATGTCAATAGTACCGAAGAGAATGCAACAGAATAGACGTGAATTTGAACCAAACTCACCGATTCCATTTCTCTGCGACGATTACCGTAACGCCACACTTACATCAACTTACAATACTGGAACTAGCGTGTCCAAATATATTTGTAGATCAATAGCTAATTAATTATTGCCTTAATTTCAACTACATATTGCAAGGTTTGTACGGTCTCCATATATTTAATCTTTTGTCGTTTGGAGTGAATAAATATTTTAATATATTTTTTTATGATATTCCTTCGGGTTATAAAAACAGTTTATTATATATATATATATATATATATATATATATATATATATATATATATATATATATATATATATATATATTATATAATAGAGAAATCTAAAATTACCTCATGAGTATAGACTATTTCAACTATTCCAAGTGGATCCTAATAATATAAAATATTAAAACTGATCCACAAAAAGAGCTCAATGTATTTATTATTACAGTGCATATAAATTGCATAATAGAGAAATCTCGTCTAGATTTCTCTATTATGCAATTTATATGTTCTGTTATAATAAATACGTCTTTCTCCTAGACCAGTTGCCATCCAAGGCTATAAAACCCAGTCTGTCCTGCGATTTACCCATAGCTGGACGTAGAAGAAGAGGATTCATACCTTTCCCAAGGTTATTAGCACGTAAGTGAATGTAATGGATTCAAATGGAATTCGAGCTCGGCTCTCCGATTCCTCAATCTGAGCCTCTATCCACTACTCGACGTATATATATATATATATATATATATATATATATATATATATATATATATATATATATATATATTTATAAGCAGATTTTGTGCAGTGATACGGGAAAAAGAAAAGATCAGCACACAATCCGAAATTAATGCATAAAGATTGAATCAAAACACACCACAGAAGGTCAAAACAATGCAAAATGACCTAGGTAAATGCCATGACTGGGTTCTCCTGCTTGTATGGCATGGTAGATTCCTGTTGTCAGACATAGGGTTTTCCAGCCGCCATTCTTTTGACCCAGGGCATCACTATCTCCTCAAGGTACTTGATGTAGGCCTTCATGTTGAGTTCGAGGCCATGCAGCAAGAGCAAGAATGGAGGCATAACGTCGCTATCAATAGTGATCACTACAAACACCTTCGTAATCATCGTAATCGCCATTAGACTCATCCAACTCTTTCTGAATCCTTCACACTGACACAGAACACTCTGAAATGTTCGTATTAGGGCTTCCGGCGCGAATGCCATGCAATACTGCATGTCGCTTCCAAATTTCTGGCGGAATTAAAAGCATCATGGTGGTCTTCTTCTCATGGATGGTGCCCAACGGACCCTACTATACTGTGCAGTCGGAAAAAAAACAAAGAAAAAAAACAAAACAAAAAAAACAAAAAAAACAACGCGCATGCACAAAATTGGAAATATAGAATGGCGACAATTTACCCATCGCACCTTATATACATACACACACACACACACACACGCACACACACACACACATATATATATATATATATATATATATGTATGGAAAGATAAGGAACAAATAGGACATGTTCATCAGTTTAACATGTTTGAATTTTATTAAAACTTCATCAGAGGATGAGATATTAAATACACGTGAAAGCTGATTAACCAGAGTGAAACAAACAACACAAAAATAAACCTACCGGAATTTCTTTCTTTTTTCTCCATATCTCATTCTCCGATGAATCTTTAATAAAAGTGAAACATGTTGGATTGTTAAACGTTTCCAATTTTAACTTTATGTTATGATTCTGGCACTTTCCGATCCATATTTGATCTGTATTTGATGACAATTCACACACACACACACACACGCACACACACACACACACACAGATATATATATATATATATATATATATATATATATATATATATATATATATATATATATATATATATACGTATACTTTTGAAGCGTGTTTTCATTAAGTTATGTCTCATTAAAAAATTTAGACAAACTGTCTACTTATTTTTAATAGGATCTTCTCATATTCACGAAGAAGTCTCGTAGTATCCTCATTAAAGGATGAAAGAAAATTACCATGTTGATGCATATTTATTTTGGACTTTTGACATTAGTACAATGTCGTCATCAGAATTTTGTTTCTTCTGCTGTCATCAGGGTCTTGTCTTTTCTAAGAAAAATATTGTTGTGTTCAACATTTTTCTAACACAACATTGTTGTGTTCATCTGAAAATTAAATTTTTACATGTTAAATGAAAAATGAGGATAAAATTTTAAAACTTAAAATTGTACACTACATGTTCTTAGGGTTTTTAACTTCACACGAAAAAAATTAATTTTCAGATGAATACAATAATTTTGTAGAAATATGATGTTAACAACAATTTTTTTCTTAAAAAAAACAAGACCCTGATTAGGGCATTCTAGTAATATCGAAAGCACTCGGAATAAAACGAATATGCATCAACATGGTAATTTTCTTTTTTTTTTTTTAATAAGGATACTAAGAAACTTGTTAGTAATTATGAGAGGATCCTATGTACAGAGCCCGCCAAGAAAGTATGAACAATTCAGAAAAGGGAAAATTGTATC